AGATGCTCTCTTACTCCCCCTCCTCAGCAGGAGGGAGAAAATATGATGAGTCAAGATAAGGACAGGGAGATCACTTGCCGGTTACTGTCGTGGCCAAAACAGACTTGACTTGGGGAAGATTAACTTAATTTATTGTCAATTAATAATAGGGTAGGATAGTGAGAAAAACCACGTTCACCCCTTCTTTCCAGGCTCAGTTGCGCTTCTGACTTTTCTACCTCCTCCCCCTGAGCGGTGCAGGGGGATGGGGAATGAGGGTTGCAGTCAGTTCGTAACACTTCATCTCTGCCATTCCTTCCTCCTCATGTTGTTCCCCTGCTCCATTGTGGGATCCCTCCCTCCCCAATGGCATACATTCCTTCACAAAATTCTTCAATGTGGGCCCTTCCCGTGGGCTATAGTTCTTCAAGAACTGCTCCAGCATGGGTCCTTTCCATGGGGTACAGTCCTTCAGGCATAGACTGCTCCAGCGTGGGCCCCTCACAGGGTCACAGCTCCTGCCAGAAAACCTGCTCCAGCATGGGCTCCTCTCCATAAGCCACAGCTCCTGCCAGGAGCCTGCTCCAGCATGGGCTTTCCACAGGCCCCAGCTTCCTTCAGGGCATCTCTGCCTGCTCTGGTGTGGGGTCCTTCACAGGCTGCAGTGTGGATATCTGTTCCGCCATGGTCATCCATTGGCTGCAGGGCCTGCTCCAGCATGGGCTTTCCACAGGCCCCAGCTTCCTTCAGGGCATCTCTGCCTGCTCTGGTGTGGGGTCCTTCACAGGCTGCAGTGTGGATATCTGTTCCGCCATGGTCATCCATTGGCTGCAGGGGGACAACCTTCTTCACCATGGTCTTCTCCATCTCTGTTCCAGTGCCTGGAGCACATCCTCCCCCTCCCTCTTCATTGACCTTGGTGTCTGCAGGGTTGCTTCCCTCACATTTTTCTCACTCCTCTCTCTCACAACTGCTGCACAGTGTTTTTTACCCTTTCTTAAATATGTTACCACAGAGGTGCCACCAGGATTACTGATGGGTTCCGCTTTGGGCAGCCGCAGGTCTGCTTTGGAGCTGGCTGAAACTGGCTGTCAGAAGTGGGGGCAGCTTCTGATACCTTCTCACAGGAGCCACCCCTGCAGCCCCCTGCTACCAAAACCATGCCATGTAAAGCAAATATGCATGCACACTTCTAATAAAAAAGTGGTATCAAGTAGAGTCAAACCTCACGCTCTCTCCCAGTATCCCTTGTGAAGGGAAATACTTGCACTTTCATTTGTATTAGCAGCATTGTGGAATATGGTAGTTTGTATAAAAATGTCCTTTTAGTTTATAAACCTGTAGTGCAGATGCTTTTTTAATAGAAATTAAGTGAAATAATGCGACTTTTTATTAGCATTATCTGACTATTAAGTAACAATACTTAAACCATCAGTATAATTTATTGTTTTTGTAATACTTAATCTGCAGAATCCCCCCAGAATAAACAAATGCTGACCCAAAAATATGATGTATTATATTTGTTATTCTAGAAGGTGTTTTGTGGGCTTTCTTTAGGTGGTAACTCAAGCTAACTATATATACGGGTTTGTTTTGCATTTGATTAAAAACACTTTTTGCCTTACTCCTTGCTTGTAACAGTGGTTAAGACTTTCTGTGGAGCTTATCAGTTAGGCATGCAATTCCTGTTGAATCTATAGATGCTTGAATGTCCAGGTGTTTGAAATTAGATGGGTGTTAACTTTTATTTTCTCCTATAGTATGGCACGAAAGGAAGGCGAAAACTGAAATTCTATTTGAAATGTCCTTGGATTTTATTTTGTGGATACACTCTATGAATGCTATCTTCTTGACATTGGTATTGATTTTCCATATTTCTGTACTCTTGATTTAGTTTTTTAAAAACTGAATTTTCCAGTGAAATGAATTTATAAACCTAGCCAAAACTATTCAAGTGGTGCCAAACTAAATTCACCCAAGGAGGAAGCATGTATGTGAGGAATTCAAATTGTCAGTATGTTACAAGAATACTTTCTAATTTTTATTCCCAAAGAAATGTTCAGTTAGTCCACAAATTCTAGTTTTGGAAACTAGCATTTAGAATGATACCTGGTTTGGGTTCTACAGGTATACATCTGGTATTCTGTACTTTTTGGCTGTTTTTCCCTGACCAGCCACCACTGCAAACACTCTAGGGTTAAGCTGAACTGGACTTCATCAGGTCACGCAGTTGTGAGTAGTAGCATGTGTGAGGAGGAGAGTAGCAGCATTAACTGGTACAGCTCTATAAAGGGGATTCGTGAAAGCTTGTTCAAAGACAACTTTTAGTTGTAGAATATCATGTATAACTTTTTCACGTAAAAAGAAATTACAAGGTAGGACATAACCCTTGGAGGTTGTCATGGCCATGAATTCAGTTAATACATCTGTTTTTGTGTTTATTTCCCATATCCATTAACATGTTTTGTTCCTTTGCAATTTACAGCGCAGAACTCTGCAAATGCAGGTTTTGCAAACTTTGATGCATTTGGACATTCTAGTGGCTCGAGTAATTTTGGAGGTTTCCCCACAGCAAGTCACTCTTCTTTTCAGCCCCAAAATACAGGTAGAACTCCTAGCACTTTTGATTAATGCTTAATTGAAATAATCCTTACCTTTATGTTGGAAGGTACTTGAGTTGATTTCTTGCATCTGCCTGCTTTAATGCACTCAAGCCATCTGAAGCTCTGGGGAAACTCAAAATGAATTCCTTCTGTTTGGTGTTGATTTTCTTTTTTTTCCTAATGCTACTCAGAAGTCTGGTTTATGGCACTATGTGTTTGTTAGCTCTACACCTGAAATAACTATGAAAAGAGTGAACCATACTGCTTTTGATAAATATTGAATTGGCTTTGTATCGTGTAAGAGAAGTGTTTCAGTAGACCCAAAAGCACATCACAGTACCAAAAAAAAGTGTGTGTCTATGCGTATGTATAACATATGCACGCACTTCAGTATGTTTGACTTCATGTGTAGAGCCTATTGCTAAGACTTATTTTGCTTTCCTTTAATTTGATCATGCTTTAGAACTTCTGCTTGAGCTTACACTTGCTGTTTGTCTAGATCTTTGGCTGACTGACTTTCTTTTCCTTTTTTTTTTTTTTCTTTTGAGTGTGGTGTCGTTTTAAACTTTTTTCCAAATTTTCTTTCTCCCTTCTTATGTTAACTTTAACCCACACACAATTTCTGGCTGTCCAGCGTTCAGAACGCTTTCATCTAGCTGCAGTTTTGGTGAATTTACTTCAGCTTTTCCTCTCCAGGCTGTACACAGTAAGTTCCACGCAGTGGAAAACTCAGCTTGCTTCATTTTATGCCATTGTAGTATAGCATTTTCATTCCTACTGTTGCATATGTTTTAACTTCTTGATTATGCTATTAGAAAGTTGTGTGTTCTGTAGTATGAGTGAAGTCCTCAACTAGCTGTTATAAAATGTGATACACTTAATGGAACAACTCATTTAAATTTACGTACGTGACCTGCCTAGATTAAATTGTCTGGACATTGAAGAGATGGAAGCTCATGGTTTCATATTTGAAGTGAAGTTCAGTTGTGTGGACCTAAGTCAGATTTTTTTAAAGTTGATTTATGTATCTCTGACATCAGTGGAGACTTGGTATAAAAAGAGCTGTGTTGTGTCTTCCCCCTCACCTCTTTCCTGATTGGATGTAGTCCAAAAATCTGAGAACAGAGAACCAAACTATCCCTCTAAACCTTGACAAGGAATCATACTGCTTTTGGAATTCTAGGCACTGTTTTTTGCTTAGAACGATGACTGACATCTGAAATGGTTAAACATTGTACCATTAAGTAAATGCAAATAGTAGCAATTCATTAGACACATATGTCAGGAAAATGAAGCTTCTGTATTTTGCATATTAAAGATTCAGACAAATACTTATTTTTCTAGCAAAATACTATCGTTGGAATTAGTTTAACAGCTAATAAATAGCATAAAGTTCTTCAAGATCAAATTATGACTGTGATTTAAGCTGTTGAAGCTTGGGGGTTTTTTGTCTCTGATCCGCAGACTGAAAAATGTGTTTTTAAAAAAAAAAAAAAATTATTTTTTCTGATGACCCAGTGTAACTTTGAAGGAAATGGGAAAAAGTCTTAAATGGGTGGGGGAACATGTTACCTCATGTAACCGCAAAGAGGTGGGATTATTGTGCCATCAGTTACAGTTGGAGAGACTTTCTGTAGCTTTGGAGTGTTGATTGTGTTTAACTTAATTTGTTACAGGTGGAAGCGCTGGATCAGTGAATGCTAACTTTGCTCACTTTGATAACTTCCCCAAATCCTCCAGTGCTGATTTTGGAGCCTTCAATGCTTCTCAGAGCAACACAACAGCAACTGCAGCCAGTAAAGCTGCAGTGAATAAATCGAATCTCCAGTCAGCTGACAAATATGCAGCTCTTGCTAATTTAGACAATATCTTCAGCGCAGGGCAAGGTATTAAACTTTATTCTTTGACGTGCTTATTCTACATGCGTATACTTACTACAAGGATGGCTGTGCATGTCAAAATAGTAACCGTATTTCAAAATGTCCTTTCTTTAAGTTTTAAGTAGAATTTCACGTCAGTGTACCCGTAATGTGTAAGATATAAATTTTAAGACTAACGTCACTCCAAAAGGGATGTCATCAGAAAACTGCTTTTTGAGAACCTACTTGCTGTCAAGATGAATAATTCTAAGTGGAGATATCTAAATAATTATTACTGCAATGATGAAAATATATATTTATATTTGTGCTAAAACCTATAGTGAAGGCTCTTGAATGGAGAGCCACAGTTGTTGCAGAGAACTGCCAGAGTAGCTTTCCTACCTCTCTGCCACAAAAAGATTTGGCTTTAGTTTTTTATAAACCAGTAGCAGTGATACTTGGATTTAGTTGATTTTAAGTTAAGGAGAAAAAACCTAGTTATTCTGTTACGTTTTTCCCTTCTCAAATGGTGGATAAAAACTTGGGTTGGTTTGTAATGTAGTACTTTGTTGTGAAATGGATAGTTTGAGGGTATGTGTTTTGTTAAAATTTCTAGTTGAAAATGATGGTAGTATTTACTCATTATTTTCCAGGGAAACCAGAGGCTCTCTGGAGCTGCAGAATATCTATGGAAGCATGACACTTCGCTAATAGCTAACGGCTTGTTAAATTTTTTTTTTTTCCTGTATGCCCTAGTGCATATTTAATTTTTAAGTCTGAAATTTAAACTGTCTGTGAACTTCCATTTAGTTCTCAACGTTGGCAGGGCAGAAAGTAAAACCATCTTCATCACTTTTAATCTGGTTTCTTTCTTTCTAGGTGGTAGTGAGCAAGGAAGTGGCTTCAGTACAGTAGTGTCAGCATCAGGAGGTCCTGCATTGTCAGCCCCAAATCAGTCAAGTGTGTCTTCAGACAAATATGCGGCTCTAGCAGAATTAGACAGCGTGTTCAGCTCCACAGCAACCTCTAGTAACGCGTATACTTCCACCAGTAACGTTAGCAGGTACTTTGTTAGAAGTAGCTGACTTCCTACATTGACTTCAGCAGTATGCAGAAAAGTAGCTCAAAATTGTTTCTCAAATCTGGTTTTATTTCTTATCTAAATGGGGAAACGTTGAATGCGTTTCAAGGTAGTACTGAAACTGCATCCTTTGTTTTAAATAATAGCAGTACTGTCTGATAAGATACTATAAGATAAAATTAAGAATACTTTCAGCAAAATGTTCTCTGCACCTTTCTAGTCATTACATGCTAAACCTGTTAGATGATAACACTTTCCTGTACAGAATATTTGCACGCATACTGAAAATCATAGCATCATCCCTGGCAAAAAAATTATTCAGATATTTGTAATGTAAATGGTGCCAACCACTTCTTTTTTAGATTATTGAATTAATAAATACCAAACGCCTGTTATAGCTCTGCTTGGTATTGTAAGTGCCCCTAAATCTTCTGCTTTGCAATGTTTATGCTGGTGACCTCTGTTCAATATTCTTTCTCCTGCTGTTGGTGGAGAGGACTTTTCATTGCTCAGCACTATTATAGTCTCTGACCCTGGCATCAGGGGCTGAATTTGAGGCATCAGTGAATTATATTGCAGTTTGCAAACTGCACATAAGCATTCCTTTCCTATTCTTTTATATGCCAACAACAATTGTAAGTTGTATTTAATTGTTAAACAAGTAATTCTGACTTCACTGAATGTATGAATTATTTTCAGCAATGCTTTTGGAACAGTACCTGTGGCTGCTACTGCACAGACACAGCCCGCATCTTCGAGTGTGCCTGCTCCATTTGGAGGTATATAAGTGTTATTAACGCCTGTTGTGGACTGTAAGCAAACATCTTACTAATTTTTAGTTGATAGTGCTATACTTTGACACTAGTGATATTGAAGTTACTAAAGGATGCTAAAAAAGTACCGTTGTGATGCATTTCAAATTAAGCTTTTTATTATCAATTCCTAATTTTCCATGTAATTTTAGATATTTATATATCTGTATAAAAGCTGTATAAACTTAATGTGAGTCAGGTTGGCTATTTTTAAAAGACTTTATTAAATAAAATGTTTTTAATCTTTCAGCAACACCTTCCACAAATCCATTTGTAGCTGCCCCTGTTGCCCCAGTGGCACCTTCAACAAATCCATTCCAGACCAACAGCCGAGGAGCAACAGGTTAGTAAATAAACCCCTGAGTGTTTGAGAAACTTTCTTTCAAGACTTGCATTGATTCTTTTTTTTCATTGTGTGTAAATTGTTCCTTAAAGGTTTTCTGTACTATCTGTCTCTAGTCTATTTGACATGTTGTGTGTTTGTTCAATGTAGAGTACAATATTTATGAATAGGCTGCAGAAATCAACTTTAACTTTTTTTTTGGGATAAGTGATGTTTTTTATTGGGCTGAGGACATTAGTTTCCTGTTTCTGGCCCAATCCTAGCATTTCAAATGGTGGACATGAAAAATGTCAAAATGATCTGTTTAAGATCTTCTAATACACAGACTACAAATAGCTTAGATAGTATTACCAGTTGGGTACCTTCCAAGACTATAACCTTTGCTTTGAAGCATGCTTCATCGCAGGTTGCCCTGAAATCAGGGATCTTGAAAGCCCTGCTGCTAAGCTGGTATACTTACTTTTTTTGTTTCTTTATTTCAAAGTCCTGAAAGCCCTCAAAACTAAAGAGGTGGGGCTAGAACAAGGAAAAACAAGGCTTTTGGGCTGTTAGCTCCTCACCAGTCCACTTATTCAGTACATTGGTGGTGTCCTTTATTTGTCTTTTTTTGTAACAGTAAAGCATATGTTTAAATATAATCTTTACACTCATGATTTACATTAATTTTCTGGGGGAGGATTCTGTAGAATCATAATTCCATAGACAGAAACTTAATCACTTTTTAAAAAGTGATTGTACTTTTCTTTAAAACACTGAACTTGGATTTAGATGACTGTTAGATTATGCTAATTTTCCTCTCCAAAGGCATTGCTAAATTTCGGCACTTTTATCTATTAACTGGACTTCCACAGACTTAAATCTGCTGATGTACGCATTTTAACATTGAGTTGTGCTTTGCTCAAAGTTTTAGGTAGATTTAATTAAACTGATCAGGCCGAGTTAAAACTGAATTGATCAAATTCATGTCTTCTGCTAAAATGAATTCTGTTTTCAGTCCCTTTTGAAATAATATGCAGTTAAACTTATTCAGCTACTTAATGCCCACAATATCTTTTTCCTCATTTTAATCTCACTAGTAATTGTGCTATTTTGGATCATCATTAAGAACTTGTAGCCTCTTTAGATAATTTGTTTGAATATGGCAACTCTATCTTTCTGCCTTCTAAACTGCAATCCTTGGCTTGCAGAGGTTCCAACCCTTTGGCAGCTGTACTGATGTTATGTACTAGGTAACTAGAGATAATGACTATAAGTAAAGATAATATTCTGCCCCTTTCAGTTTAAGGTGTGAGCTTTCTTTCTGCATGAACTTTGCTATTTATTACATGGGAGATCTGTTTTGTAGCGTTTATATCTAATGGTTTTCTTAGCTTAATCTATTGCTGGTCATGCTATGGGCAAATTGTTTGGTACATACACATGTGTATATTTTTTTTTATATATATATAACTAAGAAATGACTACTCGAGTGTATAAATGATTTGACATTGTCTGGTCTCTTTGTGGCTTCCATAAGGCCTCTCGGGAGCAATGCACTCTCACATATTTCCTCAGGCTCATTTTGGTAGGTGGCCACATTTGGTATCAAGTTTCTTGTGGCTAATTGTTCTTGCTTGTAAAAGCTTATTGATAGCTATCTGGTTCTCTGCACTTAGAATTTTGGAAGACTTTCTGTGTTTTAAAATGGAGTGGGTGTGGGCAAAGGGAGAGAAAAGCTTACGTAGGCAACCTATTAAGCAACTAAAACAAAACCATTATTGATATCCTCCATGGTCACAATATAATGCTAACAAGTTGAGTGACTCTTGAAGTTTCTACCAATAGTAGCTTGATGCCTTTTGGGATATCCCAACTCACTGCTCGCTTTGTTGTGCTTTTGTTTGCTGTTTTAGCAAGTTTTCCTATTGAATAGCTTCTCTGCTATCTGTAACTTGACAACAATGTTAGTACATTAGCTTTGCGTGTACTTTGTCAGCAGTTTATGTATGTATAATGTCTTGCCCTTGAATACTTATGGGGTGAATTTTTCAACTGATAATTAAGCTATATTCATTAGATATATTAATTTTTTTTAAACAGTTGAGCTTGCATAAAATCTAACTTGTAACATTTCAAAAGAAAAGTTCTGTCTAATGTTTAACTAGAATAAAATGCCTGGTGTCTGTATTTGTACCAAAAATACTTCTATACCTTCTCCTTTCAAGACTGTCTCCCAAAAGACTGAATAATGGTTTTGTTACTACATTTTTGCACTTGATGTGCTCCTGTTTATTTGCTGAAGGCAAGTGGAATAGCATATGAGCATTGTGTTCTTTACTTGAAATGTTCAGCAGAGAATCAGATGAAAAGTTTTGGGGTTTTTTTGTTTTAAGTCTTACCTCACCAGTAAGAGCGTTTGCAATAGGAACTTTGTGTGCAAATAATGTGCATGGTGAAAATTTCCTTTGAAGTGTGATTAAGGATGGGATGAAGAGAGAGGGGATGCATGTATCCCTTATGACTTTTTTTTTGACTTGTAACTTTCTGCAATGCAGCTTGAAGTAGGAAGATCCTTTCATGCTTTTCTCGGAAGGAGAAACTGCCTGAAAGTGCTTGCTTCTGACGTGTGCAGACTTTTACCAGAAAAACTCTGGGGGAAGTATACGATAATGTAGAGAAAGTAAAAAATAATTTCCTTTTCAGAAAGTATATCTGAATGTGCTGGATCTAGTAAATTTTAAATTATTCCATTCACTTTTAAAGTGCAAAAGTAAATTGGTGGTGATCCAAGCTCACAAATCAGTTCAGTGGCTGTAGAAGTTGAACCTAACTTTTGTATGGTCACTGAGGCATTAGGAGACTTTTCTAAACATGACATTATAGTAATGTCTCATGAAAAAAGTGGTTTCTTACAAATAATGGAATGTTATTTTTTGCCTACCAGCAGCAACATTTGGTACTGCATCCATGAGCATGCCTGCAGGATTTGGAACTCCTGCCTCCTACAGTCTTCCTACTAGTTTTAGTGGCAACTTCCAGCAGCCCACGTTCCCAACACAGGCAGCTTTCCCTCAGCAGACTGCTTTTACTCAGCAGCCAAATGGTAGGTCTATGCGTTTTAGCTAATCTTGTTTAAATCAGAAACATGGAGAAAATGATCTGTCTGTAATTTAGCAATAATGGGTGTGTATTTCTATATGAACTTGATAATAATATTGATGAGGTGTTCCCACACTCTGTTTTGGCCCTGTAGTTGAGCTTTCTGATTTGGCTGTGTGTAGTGACATAACTGAAATTTTACCTCAATCTGATACTAAAATTATAAGTATTCCTAGGCTTAAAGGTTTTTTATGCAAGAAGGATTGTTTTGTCTTCATTTTTGGAGTGTCTGCAACTGATTATAACACTTTGTCTAACTTCATAGAACACAGGCAAGAGAAAATTGGAGAGTACTTTCTCCCTAAATTTAAATGATAAAATAACATTGAAAAAGTGCGTATGTAGAAATTGGAAACTGACTAGTTCCGAACAGTTGAAAATAAAACAAAGAAAAAGCCTAGCCATATTTTTTTTTTACACTTACATTCTTGATAGTGTTTAAGTAGATCAGTCCTCCTGATTGTGCAGTCCAAGCTTCCACTTATTTTTGTGTGGGAGCTGCAGCAAAGATTGGTTACTAGTATTAATATTTTTCACTTATCTTTCCAAGGAGCAGGTTTTGCTGCATTTGGACAGGCAAAGCCTGTAGTAACTCCTTTTGGGCAAGTTGCAGCTGTTGGAGTATCTAGTAACCCTTTTATGGTAAGTGAGTTGTTGCATGATATTAATAACTTCTGTATGTCTGAAGAGGCATAATCTGTAACACTTAATTTAGAGACACACAAAGATTCTCTCTTTTTTTTTTGCTTCAAATAAGGGAAGGCAGCATATGAATCTCCTAAATGCAATTCACTATTACGATGACATGGCATTTGTAACGCTGTTCAAATCAAAAGAGAGGTACTTGTATACCATGCTCTTACAGTAGTGCAATTTCAGAGAACCAACAAAAAAAAGACTGCAACATAAACCAGAAATATTTCCTAATAGGTTGTTTTCTTTTTTATATATCCTGCATTTATGATTTACAATATGGAAAAAAATCTTAAATATTTGTCTTGTTTTCTTCTTTCATTTTCCCCCAGGCTGGTGCACCAACAGGACAATTTCCAACAGGAAGCTCATCAACCAATCCTTTCTTATAGCCTTATAGACACTTTACCCAAAAGAACTCTTATGTGGTCACATAACATCTCTGCGCCTCTTGCACTGTTGTCTTGTTTCACTGATATTAGCTTTAAACACAAAAGAAGTCTTTAAGAAGTAAAAATAAAAGCCTGCATTGTGTACCTTTAAAAAATTAAAAAAAAAAAACAAAACACAAACCCCAAGAAAATCAACCCCCCCACCAGGTAATAACGTGCAAAACAGAGGGCTGTAGTAACATCTTTGAACCTGTGAACTGGCAGGTAAAAAGTAGCGGTATCATGTATATTAAAATTGGCTAATAAGTTATTGCAGATACCACATTCATTATGCTGCAGTACTGTACATATTTTTCTTAGAAAATAGCTATTTGTGCATATCAGTATTTGTAACTTTAACACATTGTTATGTGAAAAATGTTACTGGGAAATAGATCAGCCACTTTAAGGTGCTGTTGTATCTCTTGGAATGAATGAGCTACATCATTTTAACCATTGGTATTGGAAGTCATGAAGTTAAATTGAAGGTTTGTTCATTTCTCAAAATGTTTTCTTTTCCTAAGAGCTCTTCTATTTATACATGCCTAAATCTCTAATGTTAGAGGGATACCTGTCTGCATAATAAAGCTGATCATGTTTTGCTACAGTTTGCAGGTGAAAAAAATAAATATTAGAAAAAACAATTGTGTAGCATTATTTCTCTGCAGTAACATTTTGTTGGGTTAAAATGGACATATTGAGTCTCATACACAGATGAGTTATCAAAAGCAATATACTTAAAGGTGAGTTAAGCTTAAAATTTTTGCATGACTCACTTGGATATGTTTCTTTGTGTCCTTGTGATTAAGCTTGCTGTTCTAGCTCGAGTGAAGTGACCTATTGAACAGGAAAATGTTGAGTGAACTTGAATTATTTTGACAGAATAGCTGTGTAATGAAGGACACTGGAAGCACTGAGGAGGGTAGTTACTTGAGAAATGGTTAGCTGCAAAAGACACATAATTATGGGTAGCTAATGACAGTCTTTGAACAAGACTTAGTTGTGATCAGAACAGTATGTGTAATAGCAGGCCAAGGTACCACAGATGTAATAGCACTCTTTTTATTAAAAATTGATAATATGTTAGTAAGGTCTCCTGTGGAATATTAAATTAATCAATTTTTTTTTTTTTATTTTCTGGAGTGTTTCCTGTCATACTAGAATGCAATTTGTAGAGGGGAAAAAAATGTCTGCCTTGCGTAGTCTGAATAGTAAGAAGGTTCAAGGAAAATATAACTCTGCATCAAAGTAGTTGGTGATGATGTTTTAAACACAGAGATAACTTGGCTTAAGTTCAAGTGTAATACTGGAACTAAGCAAATAATGTAAATATATCATGAATATATAAACTGCAAGCTTAAAAAAAGGTTTCTGACCAGCTGGAGAATAACACTCTTAACAGCTTTCAAAATAACAGGAATAAATAAGATCAGATTATGTCAGGTGATTTTTGAGAAAAGGATGTGCAAGCCCATTTGAGACAAATGCGAAAATTCTTGAAGGTAAGACATTTCACTTTTAGTTGACTGCCTGAATGTTAGATCTGCTTATTTCTAGGGGAGCTGAAAGACTTGACCACTGCTTGTAACAACACTTATACCAGTGCTTTTGACTTCCGTTGCCTGCCTATGGGGTGGTAGTAATTTCTGTATCTTTTTTTTTTTTGAAGCTTTGGAGATCCCAAAGCAGGGGATGGGCAGCTTATACAACAAGCTGCTTATAGTAGCATTCCTCACTTAAATGTCTGGTTTTATCCTGTTGGCATATTTGAAGTTAAAACAGACTTGAAGTCTGTCTTCTGATGAGGACTGCTGGATAGAGTATGGTTTAATTCCCAAGATTCTCTGGGAAATTCATTAAACAAATCCCCAGCAATTGAGAATTTCCAGGATGTTAGTGATGCCCTTGCTCTCACCAGTTTTTTGGCATAATATAAATAGCTGTAGTTCTTCCCTGTTGTTTACCTTACTTGTTTGGGCTAGTAACACATAAACGCAGTAGAGAGTGGGGAACTGCACGAGTTCAGAAGGACTTGTGGAATGCTTAAATATGCTCATTGCAGGGAACTGGACCAAACCAACCAAATGTCTCATCAACAAGATGAGGAAGGCCTTGTGGAAGAAGAACAATCCTTTGTTCCCTTCACCTAAATTGATGTAAATTAAGCTTTGCGCAAGGGCTAATGAGATCAGCATCTATTTAAACTGTTCTGATCCAAATGAAGCTGATTACCGCGAAGAGATACTGAAATTCATTTAAATATGCGAGGCACGTAGTTTTATATTACGCTGCAGAAATAGTGGAATACCTTATTTTTCATAACTAGCTTGAATGCAGGTAAAAGCTTGGCAACTTTTACTATACACAACTACATCTGTTTAGCGTATGTTTGCTAATTTTAAGTTTGTCAAACTCCACACAAGTGGCTGAAGATCTTGGATTGGTTTGAGTCTCCTTTATGTTGAGCAGAAACTGACACCATAGCTGTTTTGTTGATTAGATTTTTAAAATAACTATATTTACAAAATGAATTCTTCACCCATGATTATAAATGTTTTGTCTTAGAAATCTCTGCAGTTGTTCACACAATTGCTCATGCAACTGGCATAGTTGCCAAAAAGCTATACTTCCACTAGCTTTTCAGTATCCTCTTCTGCTTTAGCATTAAAGCACTTTACTTGATAACTTTAGCCCTCTTATACAGAAATTAGTTTGGAGACCTTCGAGATTAATACTTTTACTCGTAATACGAGTAAATAGTGAGCTCTTATGTGTGTAAGAAGATGCTGTAAGAGGTACATCTTGAGTTCTGCAGGCAGATGTGATGCCCAGTTTCAGCAGTTCAAAGCTATTCAATGGCTACAAACTCCCAAACACCATGTTGAAACATGCTGAGGCAAGAAATTAATTTAAAAAGGACCAAATTTAGTTGGAATTCCTGAAAGAGAACTATAAATATGATGCAAGTATTCTGCTCTCTTGAAGGGAAAATTTACTGGGGCATAAAGGCAAGCTCAAGCAGCTTTTGGAACTGTTTTTAAAAGAATTAATGATTTTTACTTTCTTGTGAGCTGAACTGGGGGAAGCATTTACTTATGACTCTTGGCAAATCTGTAAGTTGTGGTAAAGGAACACAATGGAATTTGCTGCTGTCTGATATAGTTGACTCCAAAGTAGACATTATTGAACACAGTTGAAAGAACATTCCCTAATTAGCTTTAGTTATATCTAAACTTTAAGTGGTGTTATTTAAGTAAGCCTGCCTTGCGTAGAAATTGAAGTGGCTCCCCATGGCTTAAAAATAAGTAGTTTAGGAGATTTTTTTGCTTCCAAAGAAATGCGTGTGTGGGTCATGGCAATTGTCAGACATAATTAATGCATATGCTTATCAAGACAGACACTCCAAGGGAAGATGAGCGTGTTGTATTTGTACATCTTCAATAAATTTGCAGTAGGACTGGCACTGCATCAGTAGCGGTTTATCTGTATATAATGACATGTTTTCCTTAGTCCTGTAACTTCAGATTTCTGAAGAGTGCGTTGTCTGTGTGGAACCTGAAATGACTGCATTCAGCCATTTGTAAACTAAAGTGGCATTATTGCTATGCTATATAGCATTGTAGTAATCCACCTTTGAATATACAGAAGTAGCATCTTTTGGAAAAAACTGTTTTGTTGCTATTCGTTAACTTGCTTTAAAAATGCATGTCACAACTTCAGTTGAAAAAGTCTTTAAGTTTTCAAAAGGTTTCTGTGGCAAGCTTTCCAACAGATCATCTTGCTGCAATGGGGCAACTGCTTCTTTAGATTCCCTAGTGTTGTGGTTTAACCCCAGTTGGCAACTAAGCACCACACAGCCGCTTGCTCTCTCCCCGCTGGTGGGATGGGGGAGAGAATCAGAAGCGGGTTTGAGCTAAAGACAGTTTCATAGGTAAAGCAAAAGCCATGCACACAAGCAAAGCAAAAGGAGGAATTTGTTCATTACTTCCCATCAGCAGGCTCCATCACGCGTAGCAGTGACTTGGGAAGACAAACGCCATCACTCTGAACGTCCCCCTTCCTTCTTCCCCCAGCTTTATACGCTGAGCATGACATCATATGGTATGGAATATCCCTTTGGTCAGTTGGGGTCAGCTGTCCTGGCCGTTTTCCCTCCCAACTCCTTGTGCCCCCCCAGCCTGCTCGCTGGTGGGGTGGGGTGAGAAGCAGAAAAAGCCTTGACTCTGTGTGAGCCCTGCTCAGCAGCAACAAAAACATCCCTGTGTTATCAAGCACAAATCCAAAACAGCCCCATACTAGCTACTACGGACAAAATGAACTCTCTCCCAGCCAAAACCAGCACACCTAGGAATTTTTGGTGGTCTTATGCCTATGACTAAATTGCCTTTAATTGAAATACTCATAGAAGTGAAAATTCAAAGGTTGTGTTCTCTAAGTTCTTCTGTTGTGAGGTTCAGGCATCTGTATGCACTTGCTTCTTCTGCTTATTGAGCATTAATAGAAGTTCTGGTGTGAGATCATTAAATTTGTGTTGAAATAAAGATTGTTTGAGGATTGTTTGGTATTAGAACTACTAGTGAAGAAAAAGGGCAAAATGCATCATCCTCTTGACAAAGCTCTTTATGCTGTAGGCTTATAAACAGCCTGTTTCACCATTGACCAGTCTTGCTTGGTTGAGCACTATTTTTCTCCTAATTCATTGTTCAGATGATGCAGCCTTCTGCACTGTTGCTTGCAGCCATTCTTTTTGTCTCCGTTGTTAATGATCAATGCTTTCAGCAGCCGCACTGGTATTTCTGCATTTGATGGAGATAATGGTGTATATGCTTCTGATCATGAAAATTCCAGCTATGAATGTAAAGTAGCTGCCGTAAATGAGAAACTGGGAAATGGAGGTGGGGAAGAAGGAGAGAGAGTCAAAAACTGCTTTTGCTGAAGGGGTGTCCCTCTACTGCCACCTTCCCTTCCCTGTCACCCATGCCCCAAAATGATCCCATCTTGAAAGGATTCAAGAAGTCTGGCTGCTTGACTTCATACTGTAGGAAGTCTGCAGTTGTAAAAGGCAGGGGGAGAGAATACTGTTATGTGCTTCCTCTCCCCACCTCAATAAGGGAGGAGGACAGCTGCCCTGCACTTTCTGGCTCTTCTCAGAGAAGATGAAAGCTAGAAACTTGGACCTCATTCAGTATGCAAGTTTAAACTTTAAATTCAGAAATTTAATGGGGAATCATCAGATTAGTTAATTTTCAGAATTAGAGTAATTTAAAGATGCATCCAGTGAAACTATGTAACTTAGAATTACCCTAGTAATAGGCCCACAGATTGCCTTTCAGCTTGCTTCCTGCTTCTGTTTAGGGTATTTGGACAATAAACTTGTGAATAGCAAGCCTTTAAATAAAAAAAAAAAAAAAACCACAAAACCCTGAGTAATAGGTGGTGGTCCTTCCCTTCTGCTCTATGAAAATATTCTTAAAATTATTGCAGAAATACAAAATTGGCAGGACTAGAGGACAAGTAGGTTGTAGGAGCTACTGGCAGTTCACTTTAAACAAACCCGTTTTTCAAGCGAGTAACTGTCCTAAGCTAGTCCATTACCTAATATCTTCCCAAAGGCTAATCTTGGAGTAGAACCCTCTTTTGGAGGAGAGTAGGGGAACTGAGAGCAGTGTGAGTAATGTAGCTTACCTGGGTGCTGATATGCAGTCCCAGACCTTTTGAATCTACTACAACAACAGTTAAAATTGTCTGAATCACCAGTGCAACAAAGTTGTTGAAGCCAAACATCAAAGCATAACGCTCCATGCTTAGATTGACAGCAATCTGAAACCTGAAGATAAATGTACAGGTTAACTGAACTATGGAGAATATGGACGCTTGCAATTTACTTATGGGAGGAAGTTTGGGAACAATTCAGTGTGCACAGTGGATCCTTCATAGGATAAAGCCTCTTCAATTTTGGCTATTAAGCTTTAACAGCTTCATTTTGGCAGAAATCCCTTGTTTTTCTGGCTTTGGCACTTTTGTGCATCCTACTTATCTTTTACATATTTTGAGTTGATGTTTTTGCTAAATTAAGACCTGTGTATGTTCATTTGATCATTTAGAGAATACTTAGATCATTCAACAGCTAAATGCAGAATAAGGTAGTTTCTGACTTTGAGTAACCTATTGTAATGGTTAGGTCACATAATTTAAAGCATAGTTTTATATAAGCTAGAAATAATATGTGCTGCTGTCATGACCTATCTAACAATTCTTATTTCTAGGGAAACTTTCAGTAAAATTTTGATAAATTTAAAAATGTGACACTGATTTAAATTAATTTAATTAGAACAGTTGTGTATTATACTTACATTGCTATTGTTATAAGGAGCATATAGCATGCTTTAAACGCAAGGTAACCAGCATAACATGCCCAGATGTTGTCAGTAAAGTGCATGAGAAACAGAGAACCAGCATCCATTGCAGAGAAAATTCCCAAAGCCAGTTCTCCAGAAAGATCCCAGTTTACTTTGACATATCCAACTGCCATGGATGTTGCTGAACCTAAACATATAAAAGTAATGATTAAAATTCTGAAGCATTATCATCCTTCTAGAGCCATTGCTTAACTGTGTAAATGGATCATGCCAGGAGCTCTTGAGACTGTTATGGCCACAATGGGCTTTGATAATGGTGTGGCTTATATTTTCTATTAGCGGTGTGGGAGTCTCCTGCTTGTTTGGGTTTTTTTCCTTGCTTACAGAGCCTTTACAGACTGAAGCACTCTGAGAAAGTGCCTCATGCCTAAGGCTGGAGGCAGCAGGGTACAGTCTATTGTTGTTACTCCATTTTTTGACAACTGTGAGCAAAGAGAAGAACAATCCCACCAGGCATATTCTGCCAAAATATGCATAATGGAGTTTAATTCCTTCATGTAAAGGTCTTTATGAAATGAAAATCTATTGCCCTCCTTCGTGCTTTGTTTTTTTTATGAAAGCATCTTTTTCAATTTCTGGTGAAAAATTTTATGAACTGCATTTGTCAATGCCTTATTGACCATCACACAGTAAAAGCCCTTACTTGAGCATAATATGTTATAACAAACTCCAGTGCCTTGATTTTTTTTTTTTTTTTTTTTTTTTTAAAATCTCTGCAGTAATGATCAGGTTTACTTTTCTCGCCATCTCAATTCTGGAGAAACAGAGTCTAGTGCTGTAAGAAGGTTATCCAGCTATGGGGTTTTTTTAATGCTCCTTTAGCACAGAGGCTTCTGTAGGTTTATGAAAGCTCTTTGAAACACAATATGCTGAAGTTAGTAGCTCAAATGCAAAGAGAAATGTGGTCCAGGCAGGTTATACAGCAGTGAGTTACCAGAGTCCAGAGAGTACCAGTTGCCCAGATCTTTTCAAGCAGGCTAGCACACTAGTGCAAAATTGGACTTCATTTGCTGGTTGCATGTGCTCTTCATCAGAATTCAAAAAGGCATAGCAGGCCTGCTCCTTTGGTCCGTCACTGCTATAACCAGAGGTTCCTAGTACTGCGAGTGCTTTCTGTACTCTGAGATAGTATGAAGTGCCAGAGGGTGTAAAAGCAAGAAAGCCCTTGGGAATACTGCTCAAACCAGTAGTCTGAGAAGTTCTGGGGTAGCTTCAGTAAAATGCATTTTCATGCTGATTGCAGGGAGGAAGAGTAAACTGAGAGTTCCCTGTAGAAATGTGAGAAAGCTCCTGGTATGAAGGAGGAGACATAGCTGTGTAAATGTGAGCTTAAAAATGAGGCTCTATTGGTACTGCACAGCTATTTAAATGAAGAAGTTGGACTTTACCTGTATGCCTTCTGTTCTGTGGCCAAAGAGGAATGTCATTTGGATGGACCAAGTAACTGTAATAAGAATCAGAATGGCTGAGGTTGGAAGAGACCTCTGGAGACTGCCTCGCCCTGCTAAAAGCAGGGTCAACTAGAGCAAGCTGCTCAGGATGGTGTCCAGGTCTTGAACATCTCCAGGGATGGAGAGTCCACACCTCTGGCCAACCTGTTCCAGTGTTAAATCACCTTTACAATGAAAATGTTCTTGCATGTTTAAGTGGAACTTTGTTTAAATTTGTGCCCCTTGCCTCTTGTCCTGTCACTGGGCACCACTGGGAAGAGTCTGGCTCCATTCTCTTCACTCCTCCCCTTCAAGTATTTATGCACATTAATAAGTTCCCTTGTTTTCTCAAGGCTAAACAGTTACAGAGCTCTCAGCCTTTCCTTGTGTGTCACATCCAAAGGCAAACTCACTGATCAGGATACAGATGGAGTGCACAGAGTATTTGTTCAGGATCACACATCCTGAAATAATCTTTAATCCACTGTCTAAACAGACCATCTAGAGCAGCGTATCTGTTAATATGCTCTTTTTTAATTCTTAAGCCACCTAGCTTGAGATGTATTTGAGGGAGGAATAGGCAAGGTGTCATTGCACTGGGTTTTTGAACTGCTTACTTGGGGTTAAATTCATGGTCTAAACAGAGCTGTGAACTTGAACTCTTAAAACACTTCGGTGGAATGAGGCTCGCCTAAGAAGGAAAAGCTTATATCTATATATTTTTTTAAGATTATTTTTGAAGAGCCCACTGATAAAGTTGTACAGTAAAAACATGCTTTGCATACTGTTTGGGTGTTACATATTGGAGGCTGTTGTCCTTTGTCCTCATAGGAAATAAACAGAAAGGCACCAAAGACATTGCTGAAGAATGCCATCAGCACAGGATGGGTTAGAAGTAGTTGCTAATGATCTTTTACTTACCTAAAAAAGTTGCTATTGCTTCAACAGCCCCATT